ATGTCATTTTCATCAGAAAAATCTCATCAATATGTTAAGAAAAATGTCGGGATAAAAAAACGTAAAATTAAAAAAGTTGATATTTAAATCGCTTGATTGCCTCGACTCACGATTCATGCTTATCTTTTATTCGCTGTTCTTGTCTACGTTTGGCAAACTACAAAGGCGGGCGTGAGGCTCGAAAACGTAGTCCCTCACTCTACGAGTGTCAGGTTTAGCTTCCTTGCGGTTAGACACTTGTGCAGAATATACTGTAATTCCACATTATTCTTAATTTAAGATGATGTAACATTTGCCGCACGCTTTACTCGATACCCACGCTGTGCCAATACGTTTGTCACGACCCCGACCGAGCGCGGTTGAGACCTAACGCTTTCGTGGTTGATCGCGCGCTCTGATTGGCCAGTGTTTTTCGTTAATAATTCAAAAACGAAGCTTCAACCAACATTTTGGTAAAGGAAAAAGTTGTTCAGAGTCATCCCAGCAACCCCCCATTTCCGGGTGTTACCAGAGTTACGGGACACCCTGTATACACATAGTCGTATAAAATATAAAATTTACATATTATACATAAATATAATTACTGTATTTTCTTGTATGTACAGTAAAACATAATACGAATTACAAGAATAACAAAATTTCTTTATTGATTCATATCAATCCAAACATAATTTAAATACATTGATTTATTTGTGCGTAACTCTACGTAGTTTATTCCCTCCATGATCGGGAACACGTGTGACATGTTTCTGTGTAGTTAACCTTAGTTTTGAAAAACGCTTTCATATTTGTCTATGAATTTTTATCGATTTAATCATGACAAAAAAAGATTTAAAACGTAAACGAACTGCAGATATTAATAAAGAAAATGTTCCAGAAGAGGAAGTTCTACCGGCAAAAAGAATGTCAGATGATCCAATACCAAAAAAGGTTAAAAGTATTCTTTATGTTTAAACCAGTCTAAAGTAAAGTATTACAATGTAATTAAAAATAAACTTGACGCAACGTTTTCATTTAATTAATTAGGTACAATGGATTAATAGACAACGAGTATTAGTTTTTTGTACTAGGGGAATTAGTTATAGACATCGTCATCTTATGGATGACTTAAAAACTCTCATGCCTCATCATCGCGTAGAATCTAAAATGGAACGTACTAAAAACCTGCAAGTAGTTAATGAAATGTGTGAAATGAAAAATTGCAACAAAACAATATTATTTGAAGGCAGAAGAAAAAAGGATCTATATATGTGGTTTTCTAATATTCCTACAGGACCCTGTGCAAAATTTCTTGTTGAAAATAGTATGTATTGTATTTTTTATTTATAAATTGTTATGTCTTACGAATTAGCTTTGATTACTAACATTTTTAGCAACATATTGGAATTAATGATTTTGTGTTATAGTTTATACAATGGGAGAATTAAAAATGACTGGTAATTGTTTAAGGGGTTCTCGTCCTTTACTATCATTTGATGAGAATTTTAACACAAAGCCACACTACAGTCTTTTAAAAGAATTATTGGTTCAAATTTTTGGTGTTCCCTACCATCATCCAAAAAGTCAACCATTCTTTGATCATATATATACATTCAGTGTATTAGATAATAGAATATGGTTTAGAAACTTCCAAATCTTGACAGAAGATGGTGGCTTAGCTGAAATAGGTCCAAGATTTGTATTGAATCCAATAAAAATATTTGCTGAAAGCTTTGGTGGAGAAGTACTTTGGGATAATCCAGCTTATATTTCCCCTGCCAAGGTACATTAATATATTATTCAACTTTTTATGTTAAAGTTATTAACATATAATAAGAGCAGAAATACTCAATTCAATAATTATAACTTTTTAAATGATAGCTTCGAGGATCCTTAAAAAATACTGCTGCAGGAAAATACATAAATAAGGTGGAACAGAAAATAGCACAGGAAGTTAATAAACCAAAAGAATCATATTCATTGAATCCTCTGGATGAAATATTTAAAGGTGATCCATTAGAAAAAGCATTAGAATTAAAAGAAAAAGAAGTAGAAGTACCACAAACAATTGACAGTAAGAAAAAAAAACTGAAGAAAAATAAAAATATTACATGGTTACAAAAAAAGATAAAGGCTAATTCCAAAAAGAAAGCAAAAAATTAACAGAACAATGCTACACAAAACTTTGTATTGTACTATAATGTGAATAAAGTTGTCATGAATTATTTCATAAACAATGTATTTTTATTTTTTATTGTTAATACAATGTAATATAGAAATTTATGAAGATAAGGATCAGATTAGCAATTTACATTGTATACATTCATAAGTGTTAAAATACATACAAGATGCATGTATAAATGTCATTTTTTATTTGAATTTGTACAATCTTTATATTGTGCATAGTATATATTTTTTTACAAAAATTGCGAAAGTGCAATAACAATTTATTTTAACATCAATTTTATAAAATTACACAATACTCAACATATGTATGACTATTTTATATATATTTACTTCATGAAAGCAAACTATTGCACTTAATATAAATGTACGACAAATACAAAAATAAAAGAATAGAAGATATTTTATTCTTAATAATGAAAACAAAAATATACATTATAATGTACAATGCTGGTATAATACATTATAATGTACATATGTTTTACAGGCCTAAAACATACATAAATTCATGACTGCAATACATGTTATGTGACAACAGAACATGTAAAGTTATTCACAGTTGTTTCTAGCATTATGATTTATGCTGGCACGTATTTGTACTTGATTTAGTTACATTAAAGCACACCTAAGATGACACGTTATATGTTCTGCATATTTGACCTTACATTATTAAATTAACTTACAGTTTCAATAAAATTCGAAAGTGTTTATTGTAGTAACATCTGATTATGTTTTTGTTTCTACACAGTTAAAAAAGAATATATAAAACTTAGAAAACTTGTTTGTAGTATATGCCACATAATACGAAGTATTTCAAACCTAAAGGATAGGATATTAAAAACCTGAAAATTAGTGAGGTTTATACACTGGATTTTAAAGTTATAGTCTGATTTAGTACTTTTAACTTCAGAATCCTTTGTATCAGGTTTTTAATATCAATTCTTATGTCTATAGTTATTTTATTTTCACATTACATAACATTATATTTTTGTTGCATTTATAAATACGGATTTTTATAAAAATATATGTATCTCAGAATATTAAAATATGCGATTAAAATTTATTTTTTGTATATACATTAAGTACTACGAAAACATTAAGTTTTCATTAATAAGTTTCACAATATTGTGTAATTAGTAAAGTATAAAAGATTTCTGATTCTTTCCATTATGTATATGATTGATTTAATGTTTTGAATTTAAAAATAAAAATAATATCGGTGTAAATCAGTGTTTCAAAATTATAACACTGTTATATTTAATGTTCTTGTATAATAATTTAAAACGTTTCTTAAGTTTTTGTATAATAATACATTTTAGAAACTCTAATTAATATTATTTTTGTACATACTTTAAAATTATACTAAAGTGATTAAAAACTGATTGGAAATTCTATACTATAAATCAAGAATATTTTGTACAAATAAATGGCAGATGTCTGTAGCATGTAAAAAAAATATGTTGATTGAAAACTTTAAATTGTTATTTGAACATTATTTGTAACTTGAATGTGAGGTATTCATAATCATATATACATACATATGTATATAATGATCACATTATGTACGATTTAAATTGCATAAAAATGATAAAAGAGTTATAGCCTTAAAATTTATAAATACTAAATGCTGTTGTAATAAAATGCATAAAAGCATGTATAAAAGTGTACAAATGATGAAAGGAAAATTATTGCTTTATCTTATATTTATGTATTCATCGGTACTAATTCATGTGCTTGTTGACCATTTGCATTACTATTAGATCCAATTTGTGCTAATGCTGATTGACGCCATTTTCCATTCTCGCCATTTAAATTCTTATCTTCACAAATGCAAAGAAATAAAGTATCTATCACAGTCTGCAATAAAACATAAAATAATAGATATCCACTGTATATATATTTTAATAAAGAATTTAGATGCAAACCTCATAAAGAGAAATAATACTGTGAGCAATGAAGAATGCAAAAATGCAGACAACAAAAATTGGAGCTGCATAAAAGTGTAATCTAGGATCTTGTTTCATAAATAACAATCCAATACTTCCGGTAGCAGCTGTAACAAAACATTTACCCAGAAATAGAATAAAATCTCCTACTCCATTAATCACGGCTATTTGTAAAGCATTACTAACAAGTGCTGTAAATGCCTGAAAGTAAACAAAATATAGCTTATTTCTTCTTAAG